GTCCAGCTGTATTTTCAAATAATGGTTGAATTTGATATAGAGCTTGTTGACGAAAGTGTCAAAAGTCCTTCACAGAATTTACTGTAAAGTGTAGTGACTGTATTTATAGCCAAATATGACAGCTAATTTGTGCACACGCACAGCAATTTCCCACAAACAACCATTAAGTGATTGTCCAATTTTTATCTGCCGTTGGCCTTTTGCCTTCCAGAAATGTGTTCCCTGTTGTAAAAACTTCACTATAAAATTTAGGACTCCATTATGCTTTACGTTTTTGGACTGGTGAGTAACGGCTGTCTTAATTCCTGGGTCATTTGTTTTCTGGTTGAAAGCCAATACAGCTAATGCATGTTATTTGAAATAGTGAAGAAACTTGGCTCCTGTTAACCCATTAGGGCTACAGTGGATCTAGCTGGACAAGCGCAGAAAGCTTGCCAGACAGTGTTCTCAATGGCACATTTTTAGTTGATTAAACTCCATAGCAGTACCACAACTCTTGCAGAACCCAAACTAGACATGATGGGGTCTTTAGGCTTGGATCTTGCCAATCTATGCCAAATAATTAGTTAATTAGTGTGCATCCTTCCCTAAAGAGATTCCACACTCCTTTCCAGAAATTGAATTTTTCATGTGTACATGGTACACTCATGGTACACTCAGAATGGAAGCCGCTTAAACCAGACACATTGATGCCGGACGTTTTTGTTAGGCTTATGTGGTGTTCGAGGTGAACTGAAGTTTTCTTACCTCTTCCCTTCTTGAGCAGCGGCGACGCATCCGTCCCATTGCCGTTCCCATTGGGGTGATTGACACCTCAGAGCTATCACTGCCTCCCTTTCACTGGTTGCTGCTGATTAATAGCCTGGAGCCGCTTGTTAGAGGATGGACACTCCATCCATTCACAAGCGGCACCAGGCTGCCAATCAATTGCAATTTGACTCTTTCCTTCCCCGTTCCTCCGCCCCCTTATCGATTGATAGCCCAGAGCCACTTGGGAATGGATGAAGTTTGAATGGAGCCGGCGAGGCTGAACTGCATAGAAGGCATGAGTGAGTTGACACAAGTGGCGACCATCAATGTGTTAATTTGTCCGGATTTTTGTCTAGATTAACTGGTATATTCACACTTTGAAGATTGAGGTTGATAGATTTTTGCTAGGTGAGGGTATCAAGGGGTACGGGCCAAAGGGTGGAATTGAGGTACAGATCAGCCATGATCATATAGAATGACGGAACAGGCTCGAGGAGCTGAATGGCCCACTCCTGTTTTTATGTTTCTATATTTAAAATGGATAAGAATACAGATGAGTTGGGGCTGGGGGTTTTGTCCGATTTACCTGGCGCCGGGGTTAACTGGCATCCATCTTAATCGGCTTTCACTGTATATGGAACTCTGGTTTATAGACTCTTACAATAGAGACACTTGCTGCCCCAAAAATTAAGGATACAGGAATTTTTTGAGTTCCAAGAAAGGAAAGTAATGTGTCGCCTTTTTTTGATTGAACCTCATCAAAGAGCTTCACAACTAAATACTCTCGAGTGTAATTGCTGTATATGTAGATAAATGTAGCACCTACTTGCGACAGCAAGGTCCCACAAACAACCAAGAGGTTAATGACCAATTATTGTGGAGGATTGTTGGCTGGGGGAGCAGGGATAACTCTTCCTTTCCAAGTGGCTAACCTGAGCAAGCAGATGGAACCACAGTTTCACATTTTATCCAGAATATGGCCACTCCCAATAATGCAGAACTCCACAGTCAGCGTAAACTGAACTCAAATACCAACTTGAGTTTTAACTTAGAGGAGAGTGGTAATGGAACCAAATAAATTGTGCCACTAAAAATTGGATGTAACAGTCAGTACACTTGACAGTAATTAACCCTGAAGCATTTTGAGATACTTTGCCACGATAATGTGCTATATAAATGCTTTCTATGAACATTACTTTTTTTTATGTAAGTAAACAATAGAAGCATTTTTGTTGCATTTAACAGAATATTATTCTTAAAGTCACACAGTCACATCCTACAAAGTACTTTGGGGCATTCTCCTGATGTAATGCGCTATGCAGAATAAGCATTGTTATTATTTTCCCATCGTTGATTGGGCTTTCAGTTTATCTACCCCCACTTTCGGGAGCTCCATACTGGAGCCCCTCCAATTTCCTCCCTCATTCCTTTCAAGGTCTATTTTGGTGCTGCTGTAGCTCTTTCCAGTTCTCTCTTGGCTCCCCAATGTTTTTTTTAAATATCTTTTCTTCTTTATTTTCCTTTTTTTTATTTTTATTGATCCATTTCAGCGATTTTGTTTGGCCTTTGCTGCACTTTGATTAATTGCATAGTGTTTTTAAAGATGTCCATTGATCCACTGCTGTGCTCGTGCAAGTTGCTTTGTAAGTAAAGGTGTTGGAGGACAACAGTCATTTACAAGTTTGAGTTCGAGAAAACCCACCACATTTCTAGTACCCATATTCAGTACTTTTAGGTGCCTGTGTAAAGCAAAAAAGTTGTAATGAAAATATTCGCTGCAGTGAACACCTTTTAGATTAAATGTAATTCACGCCTTAAATGGAGGCAGACTATGTGTAGCACACAAACTACGAGTTGGGCTGAATGGCCTGTTTCTGTGTAGTATCACTATGTAACACACATTCTTGTTCTCATAAATATGCGTGAATAGAAAGAAATATCATTTCACAACTGAATATTTAAATGAGAATTGTAATGTTGTGCTATAAGAAAGAAAATTGAACATTTAGGTCCTTACCTGCATAACTATTGTGATGTTAATATATTAATATTAATAATATCTTGCCTCCTTCAAGACCTATCTCAAGACCCTCCTTTTCAACGGTGCTTTTGATCTCCCTGCTTTCCCGCCTGCCCTCCACACTCCTTAACCCTGACCCCCAGCTCGGTTCCGAAACTCTGTCTGTTCAGTGCTTTGGGACGTCCGTCGCCCTGATGTGAAAGGCACTATACAAATGTCATTTTGTTGTTGTTGTTAAAAATGTACCACATTTGGAGTCCTGTAGCTCAGTGGTTAGAGCACTCGCCTTGCAAGCGAGAGACCTGTGTTTGATTCCTGGCAAGGCGAAATTTTGGGCAAGTTTCCTCATTCCTCATGCCTCTGTTTACCTAGCAATAAGTAGGAAACCGGTTGTTAGTTGATTGGTGGATCGCTTTTCTGGGGATAATAATCCTTAAAAAAAAATATTTTGGTCACTCAATCCATGACTGTTTGTGGTCCACTGCTATGCGCAATTGACTGCTACAAATATACAGTCAATTCACTTTAACGGTATAATCTGTGAAGCGCTTTGAGACGTCTATAAGATGTGAAAAGCGCTACATCAAATGCAAGTATTATTTTTATTATTGTGATTTCATCTGACCAATAGTGGCTTCATAGATTATTTTTTTCCTTTTGCACATCAATAACCAATGTTGAAATTATATTTTAATTTTACCCCTCCCCATACCCTCCAGTGTACAACAAAAAAAAGTGCACCTTGGATTTTTAGATTTTTTGGGATCAAAAATCTTGTTCTACTTGTGGTTTCCAGGATGCCGCTGTGCCTCAACCAATTGGTCATTCTTCTTGAAAGTCTGGATAGTGAGTGGTGGGATGCTGTTTGTTTGGGGGAAGGATGTGTGGGAGGGGGAAGGGAGAGGAAAATTGCCTTTAAGATCGATTGTGCAACCCTTAATGTGGACTTTCCAGGCGGGGTTGTAAATAGCAAAGCAGCCATAACTGAAAACCCCTACAGAATTTTCTCCTCCTTAACTCTAGCTACTAGACCATCTAGACCATTCCTGTTTAGTTCCTAATCTCAGTTGTGGGAAAAGAAACTGGGGTAGGGGTAGAAGAAATTTAGCTGGTAAATATCAAATATCCTTGTCGTAATACGTTTGAATATCAAAGGCTTTGACACTAGTTTAACCCTAAGTATTTCCAGTGAATATGTGGCAGCAACTTGAAAGGTGTGTTCTTCATAAGGACTTGTTCCACTTCATTTCTCAGTATTTCACCTGTGTTTGTTTCTTTTTCAAATGGTTCAATAGGTGTTGTTAGGAAAATTAAGGTTAGTGTCATGTTGCAGTGAGCGGCAGTTATGTGAAGGGAAAAAATGCCATAGTATTTAAAGGTGTGTGTTTGGTTAAATACAAACTTGTTTGACTCTCAGCTATCCTTTCTACACCTTATTGGTACCATGATCCGCTCCGCCTTCCCCCACCTCTGCAACATTGCCTGGCTCTGACACTTTCTCACACTGCAGGCCGCTGAAACCCTGATACACGCTTTCATTACATCGAAGCTCGACTATGCAAACTTCTTGCTTGTTGGCCTCCCCAACTCCTCCCTCCATAGGCTGCAGATCATCCAGAACTTTCCAGCCAACTGTCCTCTCCCACACTAGGCTCCGCCACCCTATCACCTCTATCCTCGCCTGACTCCACTGGCTTCCCATCACACAGAGGATACAGTTCAAGATCCTGGCCCCTACCATCCTGTTTACTTCCTCCACTCAGTGGGCTCCGGCCTGCTTCACGTTCCCCTTCTCGCTCGCCCCACTATTGGCAGGCGGGCCTTCTGCCACTCTGCCCCCACCCTCTGGAACTTCATCCCACAGTCCCTCCACCTCGCCCCCTCCCTTGCCACCTTCACGACCCATCTTAAGACTCTCTTCGACCCTCTTCGATCACCCTGCTTCCTCCACTGCCCTCTATCCTCCCCGATCCTGACCCCCAGCTTGGGTCTGAAACTCTGTTTATCCAGCACCTTGGGACATCCTCCTGACGTGAAAGGCCCTATATAAATGTAATTTTTTTGTTGTTGAAATACGATGCTGCAATTAAATGCATATAAAAAGACAACCTATGTTCGTTTTGTAGGCAGTTGATTAATACTGAACACTAGGATGTTGAAATTCTTTATTTTAATCCGGAAGTCAGATGCAATTCTTTTATAACCTGGAACTATCTGCCTGACTATTTAGGTAGATGGTGATTCTGAGGAAAATCATGAACATTTAATACGGCTGGACACCTGAGATAATTATTGATCATTGTTGATGGTGAGTAGTGTTCTGTCAAAGCTTTTCTTGTAGAAAAATTGATGAATACTAGTTGTTGATTATGAAAATGCTGTTTCTAATTGTAGAGCCAAAAATGATTTTGAAAAGCAACTCCTTTTCTGGGCTGTATTGCACAGGCCTTTCTTGTCTGTCATGTCAGTCACCTGTTGACAGATAATTTCTTCATATGTATTTTTGATAATATGCACAGGAATTGACTTATGGTGCAAATATTCAGTTCAAAAACTTTGATTTATATTAGTTCTCAATTGATAATTATTTCTCAGATGTTTTAAAATTTTGAATATGTACTGCTTTAAACATTAGCTTATTGTAATTTTTAAACAGTGAGATAAGAATTTCTATGATGTCAATGGGCTCAAAATACTTCACAGTAATTATTGTTAAGTATAGTGACCTTTTGTAGGCAAGCCTGAAAGCCATTTTGCTTATAGCAAAGTCCCACAAACATCTAATGTGAATGAACAATTTATCTGACGGGTTCCAACACTGAGAGAAACTCACTTTTAGATAGCATCGTGGATCTTTAATCTCTGTTTAAATAGGTAGACAGAGTCTTAGATTCAATTCTCATTCAAAAAATGTTTTTGACCATTGAAGACGTGAAAAGCGCTATATCAAATGCAAGGATTATTATTATTATTTATTATTGGCAATTCAAAGTATCCGCAGAACAACTAAACTGGAATGTTAGCACAGACTGTGAGCTCAAATCCTGTTGTAGTACATCCTTTTCCCCAGAGGTGAGAGGTACGACTAATAGAGTTGGGCAGACATATTTGTGCTGAAGAACAAGAACAGGGGAATTGAGGTTATTAAGATCAACTTGAATGACGAGAATACAGGTTGGGGGCCTTTAGTCTTTAACATTACAAGTACAGCAACACAACTCACAAAATACCAGCTTCATGACAGTGTATTCTTTGATGTACCACAAAGATTTCCAAGATGATGATGGTGAGAAAAAGAAAGGATACCTGAATTCTCTTCACACTCTCTAAAAGAAAGTTTGATTGCTAATGTCATGAAGCTACAATTGTCTGTTTCTCAGCGAAGATTGTCCAGATATTTACACACTGCTAATTGGCTAGCCTATCAGTTCTGATTGGGAATACACTCACGTCTTAGGCTTCCAATCTGCTGCCAGTGCTGTAAATTAAGCAGTCAGAATACTGCACTCTTCAAAGACATAATCAAAACTCACAGTTATCATGGGTGAATTCATCCATTAACTTTTAAGTGTTCTAATTATCACCTATAATTTGGGACTTCTAACTTGTGGAGTTCATTCTTTATTTTAAATGTCCTTGTATTTTGATTTAATTTTTTTCCAAATGGTTATAACTTGAAGAAATACCTCAAAAATAAAATAATAATAATAACAATCCTTGCTTTGATACAGCACCTTACCACACGTGTTAAGACATCTCAAAGTGCTTCACAGAATATACTACAAAATGAATTGTAGTGTATGTATTTTGTTGGTGAAAAAAGAAAGAAAAGAAAGAAAATTATCAAGACTTCTTGTAATAGAAAAAAACAGGAGCAGGGATCTAAACCTCCAGTTACAAAATCAAAAAAAGTCTTTGCATTAAATCATGTGAATCATAATACTAATAATCATGTGTCCAATGCACATAGTTGTTCCTATTCTATTTCACAAAAAATTATGAACAATGCCACTGACCTGTGGAGAATGAGTACTCATTTCCTCATGGTTGTCTTTGTTTGCAGTGGTAGCCAATTTGGGAATTTTAACAAATAAATGTTTAATAGTTAGATTTTGGTCAGCCAGATGTCTGACACATTCAGAAATCCATCGCTATGCTTAAGAGTATCTAAATTAGTCTGACATCCAAACACGTATGGATGCCATCTAACCATAGAAATGTTTATCTCGAATTGAATGTGCAGTCTCCCCTTGGTGGACCAGACCCAATTCCAGCGAATATTAGGCACAGGTGAGTGAGGGCCAAGGCTCAGGAACCCAAGAGGGCATTGGGGTACTGCTGGAATTTACCCAGCTAAAACGAATAAGTTTCCTTTGAGAGCACTGTCTGGCATCAAGTTTCCCGCTGCTGGTCCAGGTCGGACCACCATACCTTTTAGGGCTTTGGCTTGCAGGCTTAAATGTAGCTGAGTGAGAAGAATTCAAAGTCTCAGTGATAAGTATGCCAAGTCATACTGATGAAATAGTCTGACTGGTCTGTCATCCGCAGTGCCCTGGAGTACTGCAGGTCTGCTTGGCGCAGGAACTGGACTACCGAGACTGCTCCAGAGGGTTGACTTGATTCAATATTCTGTTACCAAACCCGTCACCTTAGAGCCACCGTAACCCCAAGGAGATCCTGCTAATCTCCTGTCCCTCCCACCAACTCCATGGAGGATTACATCAATGACAAAGACCTCATTTTACTTCACACATTGTTTATTTAATTTGTTCACAGTTAAAATGCATGAATAAGGCAGATCCTTCTTCCTCCAATCCAAAAATTAGTTGCATAAAATGCACCTTGGTTTTTTTAACATGAAGCAATAAAATCCTGTTAAGCGTGTTTAACATTTTTATTAGTCATTGATATGTTGTACCTTTCAATTTGTGAGTACATCCCACAATGTGTGACATCCACCAGACCACATAAGCAAGATGCTAGGAGAAAATGGATGAGTGACTAGGTGGGTGAGTGCCCACAATCCTCTCGTATCTTGTGTTATTGATCTCAGATGTATGATGGAGTATAGGAAAAGGGAATGAAGATGGGCAAAAATTGTAATGCAGTATCTGTGGAAGTCTATAAATAAACATGTTGCAGTCTTTACAGAATACTAAGGTTTTATAATTGGTTTTATAATTGTATTCAAAGTAAATCTAAGTAAGTCTAGGATGTTAATCAGCTGCTATCATTGATGACCCCATCACATCCACCGTCACCTGGCTCCACTGGTTCCCCATCCCTCAGAGGATTGAGTTCAAAATGGACTCCTGTAGCTCAGTGGTTAGAGCACTCGCTTTGCAAGTGAGAGACCTGAGTTCAATTCCAGGCAGAGGGCGAAACCTTGGGCAAGTTTCCTTACTCCACACAGAGCCTAATAATAATCCCTCCAAAAAACCAAAAGCAATAATAAAATTGGTCATTTTCAATCTACGACTGTTTGTGGGACATTGCTGTGCGCAATTGGCTGCCGCGTTCGCCCACAACTATACAGTCAATTCACTTTACAGTGTGTTCTGTGAAGCGCTTTGGGACGTCCTCCTGACGTGAAAAGCGCTATATCAAATGCAAGGATTATTATAAAATCCTCGTCTCACCTTCAAGATCCTCCATGAATTGCCCCCTCCTGCCTCTCTGACCTGCTAACCCCTTATCAACCTATCCACTCCCTTTGGCCTGCACCAATGTCCCCTGCCCAGCCCCACCCTCTGGAACTCCATCCCACATTCCCTTCGCCTCACTCCCTCCCTTGCCTCCTTCAAGGTATGTCTCAAGACCTTCCTCCTCGACCGTGCCTTCGGCCACGCTCTCCACCCTCCACCCTCCCTGATCCCCACCCCCTCCCAACTTGGGTCCAGTCCCTAACTATTCAGCGCTTTGGGACATTCTCCCAATGTGAAAGGTGCTTTACAAATGTAATTTCGTATTGTATTATTAGTTGCGGGTGGTGGAATTTAAATTATCTTTGGCAATCCAATTCAAATTTTGAGGGGATTCTATTCATGTTTTTTCTAAAGCAGTTAACTGAGTATTGTAACCAGAATATTTTGGGGGGTATTTTAACCCTTCGAAGAACAAGGGGACATGAGGATGCCTTCAGTTTATTTATACAGTATACAGAAGGCGTGGGTAGAAAGGTATTGCTAGGTGTTCTTCCAATTGTGTGAAGTTAATATTTGTGAGTTTGTGTGTGAGCACTTGAAAATAACTGAATGGCTGAAAACTATCAACACCATTAGACTGAACACAGTGCATTTCGGAATAGATGTCTTCAGATGTTGCATCACATTTCAGACTTTCCATTTGTATTTGTAGACCAACATGGCAGCGAATTTGCACACAGCAATAGTCAGGAGATGAATGACAGACTTTATCTGGACGGTTTTTACTGGAGGCTAGAACATTGGAAGAAATGCCCTTCTCGAATAACGTCATGGAATCTTTAATATATACCTGAACAGGAAGATGGAACTCTATATTTTATGTCTCACTTAAAGGATGGCAAGTCTGACATTGCAGCAATTTCTTCACCTCTTTATAAGACCTGATTTTAAGTCTTTAGGGAGGATTTGTTTGGTAGGCTCATAAGCCTGAAGAAAATGGCCAGTGAAAGGAAATGAAAGGAAAAGAGTAAATATTTAATGACAAACTCTGAGAGCTTGGTAGGTTGGGCCCCATCAGCTACAAAGGTACTCATTTTTACAAAGGGTGCAATAGAAATGCTAAATCATCAAGGTAATTATTTGGGGAGAACAAGTTTATGGGGAGAGCGTGGGGAGCAGAATTGAATTGGATAGCTCTTTTCAAAGAGCCAGCACGGACACGATGGGCAGAATGGCCTCCTTCTGTGCTGTATAATTCTATGATTCTATGATAAACATGCCAGGTATGGCCGAAAATTCTGATAACAGAAACTGTTTCTGTGGTAATTTACTGCAAGAGTGACTGAGTGATGCTATTGCTGTTGCAGGCTATGCATGCTGTATGTTTTTCTTGACACTGAAATACACTTGTGGGTTTATATTCTCATTTAACTACACTGTTAGTTGTTAAGTAAGACAACATGTGTGAAGGCAAGAGAAGTCTCACTCATACTTTTCACATATTTTTTAAATGACCAGGATTCTTTTTTTTAAATGTTCTTTTTGGGAAATTGTTTGTGCTTCTCAAATTGACTGATGTCACTGCTGGTGAAGCGGAAAGCTTTCACTGTTAGCATCCAACAACAACATGCAGCACTTTCAGGCCAGGTATCAAAAAGGGTTAAATTGAAATCCAGGGTTGTGCATGGGTTTATGTATTGGAAATATTGTGTATTATAGCCATTTTCCCACGATTATTGATCACCGTTAAAAAATGTTTCAAAAAATTTAGCCCCCCTTTGTCTTAAATAAGTGTGGTTGCAGAGCACTTTCTGTGAAGCTGATTATGTTAATTTATGGTTATCAGAATATGGGGAGACAAAAAGATTCAGTTTCCCATGTACTAATATTTGACTTGTGGTTTAGGATATCCAAGGTCAATTCTGTACAGAATTTTGTAACCTCTTGAATCACTAGCCCAATATTACATAGATGATTTATAGGCACAGTAGGATTAAGAAAAATAGTGCTCTGAACTGGTGAAAGTGTGTGTGTGTATATACCTCCATCAGCTAGAACTTGCCTTTTCATTTGGAGCAAAAGCCAGAAATATGACGTTATATGAAGATATCCTGTTTTAATACTGAGTCATAAGATTTTGTGGAATCTGAATACTTTTAAGAATTATATTCCAATGGTACAGTGGTTTCTCGCAATCTCCTTTCACCTCTGAGAATTGAATTCAAAACCATCTTTAAGATGCTACTTGATAATGAGAGGACACAAGGGTGAGATTCTGGAAGGATAAGAGTCAAATGTGCTGAAGCTCCTTCCTCATCCATACCTCTATTGTGATCTTTTGAGTAAGGTTGAATCTCATTAGAATTGCTATTTTAGTTTTCCCTGAAATAATTTGGTATTCAATTCAAATTGCAATAACATTGCACAGAGGAAATTGCTGAATGAGTCCAGAAAGGATGCCACCTTGGATTTTGATTTTATACACATTATTTTATTTATTTTATTATGTACTCCAGTTCAGAAAGATACACATCCCATCCTGGATTGGATTCAAAGCCAGATGTACAGGTGAAGTGTGCTAACTCACTACACCACACATGTGACTGTGGCTCACTCCAGATGTGCCCCAGCAATCAAAATTGCCAATGCTGTCATTACAGATGTGCCATATTCTAGAGTAGTTATTGCAGCTTTGTTATTGATGTTTGCCTGTAAGGAAAGCTTGATATGGGAACAATGTTGTTGCATGATGATTGGCTGTCAATTTTCAAATAGTAAAGGATGCTATTGGAGTCGCTAGTTCATAGTATGTTAATTTCAAATATTGCTGATTTATGGGGCAATTAAAGTCGCCCGTGGTATTACATAAAAGCTGCCCTTTGCATGAGTCACAAAGTGCAGCTGTTTGTGGGAGGATTGAGTGTTGTGCAAGTGTAATTATAGAATCTGTGACTCAGCCAAAATTGCTAATGTTTCGCCCATAAAATATACAGTCAATCCACTTTACAGTATATTCTGTGAAGCACTTTTAGACGTCTCGAAGACAAGTATTATTGTAATTTCATCTGACCAATAGTGGCTTCATAGATTATTTTTTTCCTTTCGCACAGCAATAACCAATGTTGAGATTATATTTTAATTTTACCGCTCCCCATTCCCTCCAGTGTACAACAAAAAAAAGTGCACCTTGGATTTTTAGATTTTTAGATTGTTAATGTGCAGAATAAATTGCACTGGATATTTTGTTTTTGAACTAACACTAAGGAATTATGTAACATGATTTCATTTAGATTGAACCTGTTAGTATTGGGTGCTTTTTCACATTATGTATATTAAATTACAGTAGGAGTGTGCCTTGTACTAAGGTCTTGTTCTAAAGTTTGTTTGTTTGTTTGTAGGTGATGGATTCGGCTGCATTTTTTTTGTGGTAACTGCACCTCAATTCTACTGAGTGTGAATGGTTATAATAAATCCTGTCAGATTCGTATTAAAAAGCTTGTTTCAAACTTCATGCTGCCTTTAGTAAATTATTTTGTTATTATTTAGTAATAATTATTACTAATTATTTAGTAAATTAGTGATTCAATTTCTTTTTAAATTGATTTTCTTGTCTTTTTTTGCAGGCAATCCATTACATATCAAGTTATAATGGGGATCTTTGCCTTTAATGCACACCATTCCAAAGAGAAGTGTTTATGCATTCTCTCTACGTGACCATATCCAAAGGTAAGAATTCTCACTGTAAAGTTTCTACCTACACTGAAACCAGTTGTCTTCTTTTTGTTGATAGTGACAGGCAATCATTTCCTAATGCATTTGCCTTTTGTTTTCGTATGGTACCGTTTTAGAGTGTCTATTTTTATCTAATAATTTAAATTGTGTAATTTATCCAATCTGCATCTTGGATATTTAGCCCCAATGTAAAACACAGTAATTATCTTTCAATTCTTTTTCAATGGATCTTGTTCTGAAAAGGGAACAGAACTTTGTGATAGTGTCAAGGTGCAATGCACATTCTGTATTAGGTGATCTCATAGCACCCATGTTCACTTTGGGGCACCCAATATCAGCATTGAAGCACAAGTCTGGTCTAGACATGGAGCAGGCCGAAGCCCGCTGAATGGAGGGAGCCGGCAGGTTGGTAGGGAGCCAGCAGGTCAGAGAGGGGGCAAGGCCATGGGTGACCTTGAAAGTGAGGATGAGGATCTTGAATTCGATCCTCTGAGGGATGGGGAGCCAGTGGAGTCAGGCGAGGGTGGGAGTGATGGGGTCACGGAGCCTGGTGCACGAGAGTACACGAGCTGCAGAGTTTTGGATGATCTGCAGCTTGTGAAGGGAAGAGTTGGGAAGGCCGATGAGGAGGGAGTTTCTGTAATCAAGCCTTGAGGTGACGAATGCGTGGGTGAGGGTTTTGGCAGCCTGAGGGGTGAGGCAGTGGCGGAGTCTGGCAATGTCGTGCAGGTGGTGGTAGGCAGTGCCGGTCATGGCGCGGATGTGGGGGAGAAAGGACAGTTCAGGGTCAAACAAGACACCCAGGATCCTGATTGGCTTAGTGAGGTTAAGTGTGCAGCCGTGGAGGCTGATGTTGCCAACGCCCAAGGTGCGGAGGCTCTGGCGCAAGCCAATCAGGAGGGCCTCGGTCTTGCTGACATTCAGTTGGAGAAAGTTGTCCCTTGTCCAGGACTTGATGTCGGACACGCAGTCGGTCAGGACGCCAGTAGTCCTGGAACTGAGGGTGGAGGCAGAGAGATAGAGTTGGGTGTCATCTGCATACATGTGGAAATTTACTCCAATACCATGTCTGAGCCCTGTTCTCAGAAAAGCACTCCTTAATCAATCCCCACATTGCTTTCCATTTCCGATGCCTACCATAGTTGCTTTTCGGAATGAAATTGTGGTTAAATTAGAGGCAATTTTGCAATATGGATCCATATTAATTTGAAACTGGGTTGATACTGCCAAAGTTCAATTGTTGGAGGACACTTTAGAGACAGCAGAGAAAAGAGATTTTAACTCATCATTCTAATCCATGTCCCAGAACTTAAAGAACTGCATCATAATGCATTGCACCCACTACCCAGTTCTCTTGTTCCTCAACACAGCTAATAAAATAAATCAATATTAGGATATATTGTATTCTTTATGTTCAGGTGGCATTTTAGTTGACAATTTGGTTTAATGCTAAGTTCATCAAAATGAAATAAACTAATTCTCAAGTCTTGGACTGTAAAGTGGAATCAATAAAATGGCTGTTCTGACACATTGCGATAAATATTGTCAGATAAATCTGGTTTGGCCTCAATTACAACAAAATTTCAACAGGATAGGTGATTAAGTGCCCATTTCCTGATATGCTTTATCACAGGCATTCCTGAAGGAAAGCCTAAGTAGGCATTGGTTGTCTATCTTGCTAATTACTCTTGACAATAAAATGGCTGCACAACTTATCTGCTGAATATTTTCTGCCTGGATTTGGAAAGTGAAATGCTTCTGAAAATATAGTCACCAAATGTTGCTGCCATCATTCTCACCCATACCAAACTCCACATGCCCATTATCCCAATTATTGCCAGGCTCAATGTTTCTAGAAAGGATCAATTTCAAGATCTTCAATCTTGCATGCAAACCCCTTACGCCCTAGCACCTCCCTATCTTTTCTAACCTGCTTGTAATCCACTCGTCTGCTCGCTCCCTTCGCTGAGCTAATAGGCCTGCTGGTGTGTTTTCCCCATCTCCCACGATCCCTCCGTGCCACCATTGATGGTCCAGTCTTCAGAAACTATGCCCCTAACCTCTTAGCTACCTGCCTGACTCTCTCCATCTCACCCCCTTTATTTATCTTTAAATCCCAATCAAAGATTGAAGAATAAAAACATAAACATTAACTTGTACTCTTTAGACTGAATGGATTGTATAATGGTGGAATATCGGTTAAGAGTTCTCATCATTAAACATTTGCAGTTATCAGTATACAGTCTGCTCTTACATATTCCGGGGGTAATTTTCCACATAATTGTTTTTGAATATGAGAATTTTGAATCATGTTCGTTAATGTTAGAGATTTCCTCTGTCCTGTTGTTGCAATACTGTATAATTGCATGACCAGGGTGGTCAGGCAAACTTCCAGGCCTCTCTGCCAGAGCTTGTCTTGATATAGGGAGGACGGCATCAAAGTTTCTGGAGGATACCAAGCTAGGACATATTGTGAATAGTGCTGAGGATGACAAGCGACTGCAAGAGGATTTAAACAGATTAGCCCAATGGGTTGATCAGTGGCCGATGTTCAATGAAAGAAAATGTGAGGTGATTCATATTGTTTACAAAAAAGGGAGTGTATACTGAACGGCAGTGTCTTGCAAGGAGTAAAGGGATTTGGGAGCGTAGGTACGTAGGTATTCTTATGTATTCTTATGCTCCATTTGTATTCTTACCTGTTTTAAATATGCCTGTTAATTCAGACGAAACGCCGGTTTCTAATGAATATTGCTCACTCGTGCCTTCTGTGTCACAAGTGGCTCCATTCAGTCGTTGCTTCCCAGCTTCGCTCCTTCCTCTTTCCTTTGCGAACCCCTCCAATTGGGTTTTCGTGCCGCCCACAGCGCAGAAACAGCTTTGGTCAAAGTGACAAGGACATTTTGTCCATCTGTGACCAGGGCTCCCTCTGCCTCCTCGTCCTCCTTGACTTCTCTGCTACCTTCGATACCGTTGACCACTCTATCCTCCTCCACCGCCTCTCCTCCCAACTGAACCTTCATGGTTCTGTCCTTGAATGGTTCAGATCTTACCTCTCACACCGTCTCCACTTCAGCTCCACAAACAGCTTCTCCTCTAGCCCACGCACCGTCTTGTGTGGAGTTCCTCAGACCTGTGTTCTTGGTCCCTTCCTTTTCAATATCTATATGGTCATGTCATCCGCAGACACAGAGTCAATTTCCACATGCCACATGACACCCAACTCTATCTAGCTGCCTCCACCTTCGACTCCAGGACCACTGCTATCCTGACAGAATATCTGTCAGATATCAAGTCCTGGATGAGAGCTAACTTTCTACAGTTGAACGTCACCAAGAACGAGGCTCTCCTGATTGGCTCCTGGTGGTGCCTCTACACCTCAGGTACTGACAGCATCACTATCCAAGGATGCACACTCCATCATACTAAGCTAGTCCAGAACTTGGCCTTTTGTTTGACTCTCAACTATCCTTTCTACCCCACATTCATGCCATGTCCTGCTCTGCTTTCCCCTACCTCCACAACATTGCCCGGCTCTGCCACTGTCTCACATTGCAAACCATCGAATCCCTCATACGTATTTTCATAATATCCAGGCTCGACCACGTAAACTCCGTGCTTGTTAGCTTCCCCAACTCCTCCCTCCATAGGCTGCAGTTCATCCAGAACTCTTCAGCCCGTGTCCTCTCCCGCAAGAGGCTCTGCAACTCTATCACTCCCTCGCCCGACTCCACTGGCTTCACATCACACAGAGGATACAGTTCAAGATCTTGGTCCTCACCTTCAAAGGCCTCCATGGCCTCGTTCCCCCTACCTCTGCAACCTCCTAACCCCTACCAATTTACCTGCTCCCTCCGCTCAGAGGGCTCCGGCCTGCTTCACGCCCCCCGCTTCGCTCACCCCCCCATTGGCCACTCTGCCTCAACCTCTGGAACTCTATCCCATAGTCCCTTTGCCTTGCCCTCTCCCTTGCCTCCTTTAAGACCCGTCTCAAGACCCTCCTATTGACCATGCCTTCGGTCACCCTCCTCCCCACCCTGCCCTCCATCCTTCCCGATCCTGCCCCCAGCTTGGGTACGTAGCACTGATTGTCCAGTGCCTTGGACGTCCTCCTGACATGAAAGGCGCTATACAAATGTAATTTTGTTGTTGTTGATGTGTACTGTGAAAAATCTGTTGCATTCATTTGTTTTGTTGCCATCTTCATAGACCCTGATAAGTCTAATTCACACCAGTCAGAGATGAAATAATAATGCTGCATTTTGACTGCTTGATTAGATGAACTGGGTTAAGATTAGGTTAGAGTCAGCTCATGCAGAAATACTTGTCTATTCAGATGGAAGTGAGTAGGCGTTGGGGACAGCTGTTTCTTCCTGTGAAGAACCAGCCAAGCATGATATTTTGTATAACCATTGAGGAGACTTGTTTTAGGGTAGCTTTTGTATAGGAGCATTGGTCTTCAATTATACATCTCGGAATTTGCCTCAAAATAACTCAACAGAAGAAGCCAAAATAAGTCCATGCAGATTGCTCTCACTACAGGAAATGTGTATTGGAATGAAAAGGAAAAGAATAAATTAGTTTCCTCATCTAGCTTCCCCCTATATGAATGTGCAACTCCTGACGAGGAGCCGACTAGGTCCTGGCCGTGTGAAGCTTAGAATTTGTTTAGCAGTGATTTGTTTTTTGGGATTTTGAGCTGACACTCCTTCATTAAAGCAAATTCCCATCTGACTAGGCTACGTTAAAGATTCCATATTACTATTCAAAAAGATAAAGTATTGTAATTTCTCTTCATGTCCTGAGCAACAATCCTCCAGATAAATTGTTCATTCATTTAATGGGTGGTTGTGGGATATTGCTATTTGCACATTGGCTGCTGCATTCATCTACAAATAATCACTTCATTTTGCACCAATTACCTGTGAAGCAAATTTGTGACATTTCAACATGATATACACTATAACAAATATTATATTATCATTATGACTTTA